GTATCTTAGCTAGTCAAGAAATTTTCAGTTTACAAAGAGTAGGAACGTCATTAAAGAATGAGGAACAGACACTCTTTAGTAATAGTAAAAGAGGAAAGCCAAGTAAAAAGGACACTCTGGATTTATGACATGGAAGGTTCAGACATGTTAGTTATTAGAAGCTGAGAATTATACGAGAAGATATCGTTTGTTCAGGATGTCAATATGGCAAAGTACATCACTTACCATTTGAAGAGTCGAAGTTCAGAGCTAGAGCACCACTAAAGTTGATTACTTTGACATTTTCGGCCTATTGAATGATGCATCCATCAGTGGCTATCAATATATGGTGACCTTTATTGATGATATCTTGATGTATATTTAGGTTTTCTTCATGAAAGAAAAGTCAAAAGTTCTTACAAAAGTCAAAGAATTCAAAAAGGATATCGAAGGAAAAATAAGAATGAAGATCCAGTGCCTACGTTCAGACAATGGGGAAGATTATACTTCCAATGAGTTTGTTGATTTTTTGTTAGAAAATGGAATTCGAAGACAGATGACATGTCCAAATAAAATTTAGTAGAATGGAGAATCTAAGAGAAAAAGTCGTTAACATGTTGAAATATTATGAGTTGAGGTGGAGAAGCTCGAGGGGGAGAAACAAGGAGGGGCGCCTAGGCACCATGAGTGGGTGCCCAGGCCCTGGCCGGTGCAAAATGGAGCAGAAACATTGCGCCTAGGCGCCCGATTTACCCCCCGAAGCAGCAACATGGCTCCTAGGCGCCACTCATGGGCGCCTAGGCGCTCGAATTCAGCCTATAAATAGCTGGTTTTTTTCCCTTCAAGGATTAAAACCCGATTTTTGAGAGAAAATAGAGAGAGCTTTAATAGAATTTAACAAGTAAGAGGTTGTTTTTCTTGGTTATAAATTCAAAGCTATTTTTCTTTCTTGGGGATTAACTTGAGGCTTGTTCAAGTAATCCAAATCCATTGTTCTTCATTTATATTGAAAATCATTTCTTCCCCAATTTCTTATCTTTGAAGTGGTTTGGGATTTTTCACATTGCAAGTTATCTTTCTTGGGCAATCTTGGGAGTGTTGTTTTCCCAACAATTTGGTATCAGAGCAACTTCTTAAATCAGGGTGGTTAAGCTCCGATTTTTGGTGGGTGGCTTGAACTTTGTTGTGCACACAAGGTATTTGTGAAAAATCCTATGTAAAGCTTGGAAGTTATGGCAAATGGGTGAAGAAATCTCTGGTAAGTGGATTCTTGACTCTGGATGCTCTTACCATATGTGTTCAAATAGGAAGTGGTTTACTACCTATAGAAGCACTGATGGTGGAACCGTGTTGATGGGTAATAACCATTCCTGTAAAACGGTGGGGCTCGGTTCAATTAGAATCAAGTTGTATGATGGAGTGGTTAGAACATTGATGGATGTTAGAGATGTTCCTGATTTGTGGAAGAACCTCATCTTTGTTGGTGTTTTAGACTCCGGTGGTTGCAAGATTGTAACATGGAATGGAGTAAAGAAGGTTGTTCATGGTTCTTTGATTGTGATGAAGGGTATTCGTGAAGGCAATCTCTATGCACTTCAGGGTACTACAATTACAGAAGATATAACAGCTGGAACAAGTGGAAGTGGTGGAGACCCATGTGAGTGTACTCGGCTATGGCATAGGAGGCTTGGGCATATGT